AAAAAATATGTTGCCTTATCTATATTAGTTTTGTTTGTAATTTGTATTGGGTTTGCTTGTAGAGTAAGAGTGTATTTTCAAGTTTTCATATCCTCTGGACAAATAAAATGTGAATTATCTTTGATTCTTGACTGACTCGAATCGACCTATGGCAATCTCCTAAAGACAAAGCAAAGCATATTTTTGGTGAAAAACATTTGATAAATACCAAACTCTTGGAACATTGTTCCTCTTTCTCCATTTTGATTTTTTGGTTTCTTAAACTTAACCATAACCATGAAATATATGCTACGATTTATCTCCTCCTCGTTCATTTCTCCTATTACTATGTTTACTATGGTTGGAGTTCTTATCATCTTTTCGACAGGTATATTTTCATGTAATTATTTTTAACCTTTTTCCAATAATTTCTTTAGTATATAAATATAGCGTTTGGGAAAAAATGTTGTTAAGGTAGTATATATATATATCCGTTAACATTTGAATTGTCAGGATCAGGAGCTAATGCGAGCATTGGTGTAAACTACGGTACACTCGCAAACAATCTCCCACCACCGCATCAAGTAGCGGAGTTCCTACTCCATTCAACCGTCATCAACCGTATCCGCCTCTTCGACGCCGATCCTCAAATCCTCCGATCATTCGCTCACACCGGTATCGCCGTCACCGTCACCGTCCCCAACGACCAAATCCCACATCTCACAAACCTCTCCTTCGCTCAACAATGGATCTCAAATCACATCCAACCTCACTTCCCATCCACAAACATCATCAGAATCCTCGTCGGAAACGAAGTCATCTCCACCGCTAATCACCTCTTCATCAGAAACTTAGTCCCGGCGATACAATCTCTCCACACCGCACTCGTCTCCGTCTCTCTCCACCGTCGTATTCAGATCTCAACGCCGCATTCTCTAGGAATCCTCTCTGATTCAACTCCTCCGTCGTCTGCTAAATTCCGGCGAGGCTACGACACTCATGTACTCAAGCCTCTCCTCAGCTTTCTCCGGACTACGGATTCGCCGTTAGTCGTGAATCCTTACCCGTTCTTCGGATACTCAATCGATACGCTCGATTACGCTCTGTTTAGACCTAATCCAGGCTTATTCGATCAACATTCGAAGGTTCTATACACAAACATGTTCGATGCTCAGCTTGATTCGGTTTATTCCGCCATGGATCGGTTAGGGTATTCCGACGTCGAGATCGTGGTTGGGGAAATCGGATGGCCGTCGGAAGGAGACGAAGGACAGATCGGCGTTGACGTCTCCACGGCGGCTGAGTTCAACAAGAATCTGGTGGCTCGTGTGAATTCCGGTATCGGAACGCCGTTGATGCCTAATCGGACTTTCGAGACTTACATCTTCGCGCTATTCAATGAGAATCTCAAATCAGGACCTACGAGCGAGCGTAACTTCGGTATCTTCCGATCCGATTTGACTCCGGTGTATGACATCGGAATCCTCCGGCCGACGGTAATCGCCGTCACATTTCTCGCTGGGTTTTTCGAAAATTGTTCATATCCTTACAATTTGGGTTTGGGGAATTGACAGGTAAGAACATCGAATCCGGAGAACAATCCGCGATCTCCGCCCGTTGGAGGATCGTCGGAGAAGCGGTGGTGCGTGACGAAGTCCGGTGCAGAGACGGTGGCTTTGCAAAGAAACATAGACTATGTATGTGGTTTGGGTTTGGATTGTAGGCCCATTAATGAAAATGGGCCTTGTTTCTTCCCTAACACAGTAAAAGCCCATTCGGCGTACGCCATGAACTTGTTTTACCAAACCATGGGGAAACACGAGTTCGATTGTGATTTCGACAAGACTGGAGAGATAACTAAGATTGATCCAAGTATTCTTTTTATACATTTAAAAATATTTATTTCAGAAGTTAACTA